GTGTGTGTGTGTGTGTGTGTGTGTGTGTGTGTGTGTGTGTGTATGTAGCTTTTAACATAGGCAGGAACATTTCCCAGATTATGCCAGATTTCTGAGCTCTACCTAATTTTTTGAAGCTTCTGTTAGCAGAAATAAAATGCTTATCAAGATGTATTTAGAAGCAGAGTTGGTATTTATGCCACGTTAGGACTAAATCTAATCACAATTTTAAGATTAGTGTATTTTTTAGAAATTAAAATATTCTCAACATTTCTTCCTTCAAAAATGTCTTTATCCTTTGACTGAACATGGGCTGAGGAGTATGTTTTCACCAGCTACAGCTAAAAATAGCAACAGCAGCAACAAAAAATCATTGTCAGTTTTTGTGCCCCACAAATGATTGAATTTTTTACTGTGACCCTGGGGATTGAGCCATGGGCTTTGCATACTAGAAAATGCTCCACCACTGAGCCAATCCCAGGCCCAAAGCCATTGCTTTAAACATGATGTCTGGAGCCAGAAGCCTGGAATCATCCTGTTTGGCCCTCAGGTGAATAAGTTTGTCCTTCTGTCGTGACGTCTCAGCTAAGGACCACTCAGTCTTGATTGCTGCGCTGGAAATTTTAGCAAGGAGTTTCTTAAAATTCATAAATATTTTTTCTAATTACTTTATAGTTAATACAATTGAACATTTTTGAGTTGGGGAACAATTGTAAGTTATTTTCTACTTTGAGGACAATAATTTTTTGACATGTCTTTAGATGAATGAAGCAAATGAAGTTAGAGAGAGAAACCTCTTTTTGTATCTGTGTAGTTCAGATGGTGTCAGTGTCCTTAACGGGAACAGAATCTGTGGTTGGGACTGTAGCTCAGTGGTAGAGAGCACTTGCCTAGCATGTGCCAGGGTTCAATTTCCAGCACCAAATGAACGAAGACCCACTACCATAGCAACGAAACAGCGGACGATCCAGAACTGGAAAGGGAAGGCGTGGTTTCCATTTCTTCTGCCTGTTTGAAGGAGTCACTGCTGGAGACATGAACTGAAGGGCAAAATAAATTTTACAATTGTTTTTAGGGTTTACAGTAAACAAGGAGACTATCTTAGGGAGGTTTATGGTAGCTGGCTTATATCTTAAGTTGTGTCTTAGTGAGTTTTAAATAACTGTTTTGAGTTACCGTTTGAGTTCTAGTCTCTCTTCTGTCACCAATCGCATTGTAATAGGACAGAGTAACTTTGTAAATAAGATGGGCTCGTTTGGGCTTAGGGTGTGGAGATGCGAGGTCAGTGAGTCACATCTGGGAGTGTGTGTGTGTGTGTGTGTGTGTGTGTGTGTGTGTGTGTGTGAGTGAGGGTAGGGGGAGAAAGAGGAGAGAGGAGTGAGGAGAGAGAGGCAGGCAAAGAGTAATTTCTGGGTTCTTTCCATCTTGTAGAGCTGTTGCTATCAGGATTCAATCACGGGGCTCTATGCTAATAACTTCATCCTGATCATCTCCCAGAGGCCCTCCTGCTAAGTACCACAGTGGGATTAACTTTCCACCTTTTATTACCTCTTCCTGGAGATTAAATCCCAACACATCCGGCCTTGAGATGCATCAAGCATACCTAAAACATAGCCCTCACATCCTGAAGAATTCAGCTGGTGGAAGTGTGCAGCTGAGTTGTTTTAGCTGGCTCTCAGAACTGTGCTGCAGTCGAGTGCACCTCTCAGTCTCAGCCTCCATTTCTCTCCACATTCACTAGCCCTAGACAGCCCCAAATCTATTTTATATCTCTAATTGGCCTATTTTACACATGCCCTGTAAATAGAAGTATACAATATGTGATCTTTTGTATCTTAATTTCTTTCACCTACAAGATGTTTTCAGTATAGCTTATGTCAAATGTAAAAGATCAAACTGGAGTCTCTTGCTTTCTTAACACTAATTCTTTCACCTTTGAACCTTTCAGGATCTCATTTATATCAGCTTTTTATTTTGAAGCACACAAGTTTGCAGTAAAAATGATTTGTTCCCAATTGTTTTATTCTTTTTTTTATGTTTTTGTAAGTGGCATTGATTTTTCCCCCCTCTGTTTTTTGAGACAGGGTTTCTCAGTGTTGCCCTGGCTGTCCTAGAATTCACTCTGTAGACTAGGCTGACCTTGAACTCATAGAGATCTGCCCGCCACTGCCTCCCAAGTGCTCTCACTGCCCAGCATTGGAATTTATTTTTAATTTAATTTTCTGGTTGATTGTTGCTCATATGTGGACATTAGATTGACTTTTTTAACTCTGGCCTTGCATGGAGTATGTTAGTGAGTGTCATGTCGCATGATCAAACGTGTGAGAAAAGCCATGTAAGTGAAGCGGGTTTACTCAGTTTCATGGATTTCCTTCCATGGTCCTTTGACTGTTTCTGAGGTTTTGGTGTGGAGTATACCATGGTAGCAGGCGTGTATGTAGAAGCTTCACACCTTGGAAACTGGGAATCGGACAGAAAGAACAGAACCAGGAAAAATCAGTAAGGGTCGCCTTCCAGTGACGTCCCTGCCTACTGAAACTCCCTCTAGAGTTCCCACCACCTCCTGAATAGGTCATCAGCTGGGGAGGAGACATAGGCATCCTCTCCATCAGTCATGCTTGGTAACATACTGACTCTCTCTGTGTGAAGTGGTGCAGCTGCAAGTGGAAACCACTTCACTTCTTCCTTGTCTAGTCTCATCATTTTTAATTTTCATTTTGTGCATATGTGTGTCCCTATGTGCGGGTGTGTGCATGTAATGCAGGTACCTGAGGAGTCGGAGGTGTCGAGTCCCCTGAGTTGTAGTGTAGACTGTTATGAGAGCTGTTGTTGAGAACTGGACTCGGGTCCTCTGGAAGAACAGTGTACACTCTAAGCGCTGTACCATCTCTTCAGCCCCTTTCCTAGATATCATTTATTTTACGGTGTCATTACAGTACCCGGAACCTTCAGTACAACAGCACAAGTGCACATCCTTGATTTCTTCCTGATCTTTGGGGGAAGACGTCTAATTGTCATTTTTTTTTAAACTCTTAAATTAAAACAATAGACCATGCTTTTGCTTTGTGGACTAATTTCCTTATAATTGAGACTTCTTATGTTTATGCCCACAGATATGTGCTGACTAGCAGGCCCACTTGTGCGGTATAGAGGACAAGCAGTACCTTACAAAATGGGATTTGGGAGTGACCTGAGGAACTCACAGGAAGCTGTGTTAAAGTTGCAAGACTGGGAATTACGGTTGCTGGAAACAGTGAAGAAATTTATGGCTCTGAGAATAAAAAGCGATAAGGAATATGCATATACTTTACAGAATCTTTGTAATCAAGTTGATAAAGAAAGTACCGTGCAGGTGAATTATGTCAGTAATGTGTCCAAGGTAAGAGTGATTTTACTTGTTCTGTATAGCAACATAGTTGTCTTCAGGACAAATGGATCATACTATAGAACAAGCATACCCATGTCAACTTGTGTTCTAAAGTTTCTCTTACTGCTCTTTTATCTGCTTCCTCTAAATGTTACAAATATGATGTTTGCATGTATGTGGAGATATGTGTATGTCCAAATGCACACACCTGAGCACTGCACTTGGAGACTGGAGGAGGACATTGGCTGTCTTCTGTGGCTTTCCACCAAAGTGGAAAGTCCCTAACTCAAGGACTAGGCTAGGGGTAGACTGTCTGGGCAGCAAACTCCTGGGATCCACCTATTGCTGCCTTAAAACAATGGGATTATAGGCACATGTGGTCATGTCAGACTTTCAGGCTTGCACAGCCATTGCATTTACTCCCTGAGGGCTCTCCCCAGTTCCTATCTCCTGTAAATGTTTATATGCTCACTTTAATATCCTTTTAGTTTATAATATAATTTAATGTGATTATTTGATATTATTAAATATAGTTCAATTTACTATTTTAACATTCACTTTCTCTTTGTTCCATCTTCCTTTTTTTAAATTTATTTACCCCCTTTAATTGAATTTTTTCTCAAACTAAAATTAATTAATTATTATTATTATTATTTTTTCTTTTTGAGGCAGGGTCTCTCTACATAGCCCTGGCTGTCCTGAAACTCGCTATGTAGACCAGGCTGGACTTAAACTCACAAGAGATATACTTGCTTCTGCCTTCCAACTTCTGAGATTAAAAGTGTAAACCATCATGCCCAGCCTTAAATTTATTTTTAGTGGATGAATATTCATTAGTACTAAGTAATGTTTTGAGACCTTTTGTACATTGTGTAATGTTTAATAATATTTAAATAGATTGAACTAGTCACTTTTCTTAAATTGTATGATCTCTGGTAAGTAGTAGATCACATTCCAGGCAGGTCCCACTCCATAGGGTAGGTGGGCAACACAAACTGGACTTTGGTTAAAAAAAAAAATAAGTTGGGTGGGTGGGGAGGTGACACCTGAGATGGTCACTGAGAAGATTTGGGGGCTAAATATGATCACAGTACATGGTATGACATTCTCAAGGAATTAATAAAAATATTATTAAAAACTGTTGAAAGGAGCGGTGGGATGCGTTCCTGCCTGGCTAGCTTATGCCCCGAAATAATAACACAGAAACTGTATTCTTTTAAACACTGCCTGGCCCATTTCTATTAATGTGTGTAGCACCACGAGGTGGTGGCTTACCAGGAAGATTCTTGCCTACGTCCATCTTGGGTCGGAGCTTCATCGCATCTGCCCTGGAGAGGAGCAGCATGGAGTCTGCCTAACTTCCTCTCTTCCCAGCATTCTGTTCTGTCTACTCCACCCACCTGTGTTCTAACCTATCAGGCCAAGCAGTTTCTTTATTAATTAACCAATGAAATCAACAGATTGATATATGACACTCCCACCTCAAAAAACCCTGTTTCTCCAATCATGTATTTCTTTTTGATGAAAACATTCAAATTTCTAAGACTTTTTTTTCCAACTTTTTGAAGTCTGTAGTAGACAGTACTTGGGAAGCTAATAAGTCACGTTTGATCTCTACAGTTTCTCCAATTAGGTGACAAAACATACAATCATGAGATGAAAACAAGAGGTGTTTTAAGAGCAAAAGAGATAAAGGAATGGTTCATGACCCAGTGACTCTCAACCAAGACACTTAGAATACACAGTAGGAAAAGGCCAGTCTCTTAAGTTAAAGACACGGAAAAACTGCATAGCCACGTGCTTAAGAATAAAAGCAAATGTCTGTCACCCACCAGTTATAGAATTACACTCAGAGTGAATTAAAAAGACACATGGGATTGCTCATCATGGCCCTGACTTCTCTGATGATTATGTGTAGGTCCCATGTTAATAATGAGTTAATCATAAGTATCCTTTTCAGTCAATCTTTCTTGTGTCTCCATGTTTCTACTCAATGTTTGTTTCTTCTAGTTTCCTTGATGGACAGGATGTAGTCATGGTAGCTCTCTGGTTATCCTGTTGTTCTATCATGTGGGTCACTTTTATGTCTTTCCTGTTCTTACCTCCCCCATGCAGTGCTGGGTTCAGACCCAGGGCTTTGTGTGTGTTAGGCAAGCCTGCTGCCACTGTGCTGTGTATTCACCCCTCTGGCTTAGCTTTTCTCCTCATTTTAGTGGCACTTTCCTGTATTGTCTGTCTAATAATCCTTGAATAGCTTCCAGGCATCACGGCCAGTACTTTTTATCTTGTTAGATGTGTTTGTTGTCCCTCCATATTTTTGAGCTTTGCTTTGGGATGCAGCTGAACTACTTGCAGACAGTGTGATCCTCTAGTTTCTTGTTTTCACATTTGTTAGGTCCAGCTGTGATTGATTTGATTTCTGATCACTTTATCTTCTCTACATAGCAAGATCATTCTTAATACAAAAGCGTGTATATTTATTATAAAAACATAAATTCTGACTTTGGGACACTTTCGTGAGTTGTGGCCCTGTAAGTTCTCAACTGGTTTCTTGCGATCTTTTTTTGGGTGGTTGCTTTTTAGGTCTTAGTGGTTTTCTCACACATTCAAGCTCTCCAATACTCACCTCTGTTATTGAGGAAGAGTCTATGAGTCTATGTAGGTCTCCAGAGTTTCTCTCTGTGTCCAGCTCTCTTTTCTCTAGGAAACCATGAGTTCTGCTAATCTGTTTTTTTTTTTTTTTTTTTTTTGGCCCCTTTGTGTCCTGAAGTCACTCTTCTCAACTGGACATTACTGGGGTTTTGCTTACTTGTGACCTAGACTTTTTTTGTTTTTTTAAATCAAGTAAGCCTTAGTAATGTTAGGGCTTGGATCATGATTTATAGTCTCTGAGGAATCATTGTTTTTTCTTACTGCTCACTAGTGTCCCTTGAGTGCTTATTTTATATGTTTGTCTAGCTATCATTTTAGGTAAGTGGATAAATTAATACACATTTCTCTACTGTCACAGAAAGTGTAACAATTTATGAGGTACTTAAGGATGCGTTATGTCCTTTTGTTCCCAAATATTTGTGCATGTGTTTTCTGCTATATAATGAGTTAAATTATAATAGTTCAGTCATAATACATGTTACTGTTTAAACATTGTTAAAAATAAATTTCCTGGTCTGGTGAGATGGCTCCGTGGTTAAAAGCTCTTGCTGTGCAGTCTAACAATGTGACTTCCATCCTGGAGGCCCTGTGAAAAGCTGAGTGAAGTCATGTGCATCTATAATCCACAGTGAGATGGGAGGCAGAGGCATGATAGTCACCTGGAGGCAAACAGCCTGGTATAAACATGGCAGAAGCGAGGAGACCTACCTCAGTAAGGTAGACAAGAGAGAAGCAACTCCTATTGGTTGTCCTCTGACACACCACATAGCCCCTTCAATAACAAACATGACACCCCGACCTGGTCTAAATAGCCAGCTTTCCCCAGCAGTTGTTTCTACCCAGAGTTGGCATTACAGGCCAGAATCCACAGCTGCCTGGCTTTATGTGGGTTCTGGGAATCTGAGTTCCAGTTGTCTTCATGTCTGTGTGATAAGCATTTGTCTGTTGAGCCATTTCCCAAGCCTCCAGCTCTTGTCCACTGTTCCAGTAATGGCCTTTTCTGGAAAATGTTGCTTTTCTTACCTTGACCCAAAATTAAGTCTGGAATCAATCCTTTCATTTAGTTTTTGTCTTTTCAGTAAACTTTAGTTTAAAACATAAACAGGAAATATAATACTAAATGAAAAACATACTAGTTTTATCATGTATTTCTCTAAAAGAATAATCAACTACCTTTTCCATGTGTTTAATAACTATTTTATTTTTGTTTTTTTTTTTTATGACAGTTTTTTTTTTTGTTTTTGTTGTTGTTGTAGCTTTGGAGTCTGTCCTGGAACTCACTCTGTAGACCAGGACGGCCTTGAATTCACAGAGCTCTGCCTACCTCTGCCTCCCGAGTGCTAGGATTAAAGGTGTGCGCCACCACCACCTGGCTGCTATTTTATTTTATTTTTTTTTATATTTATTTATTATGTATACAATAGTCTGTCTGCGTGTATACCTGCAGGCCAGAAGAGGGCACCAGACCCCATTACAGATGGTTGTGAGCCACCATGTGGTTGCTGGGAATTGAACTCAGGACCTTTGGAAGAGCAGGCAGTGCTCTTAACCATTGAGCCATCTCTCCAGCCCCTGCTATTTTATTTTTTAGAAACAGATATATTTTTATTTATGTGCATATGTATGTGTGTGTCTCGTGGATGTGTGTATATGTGCACATTGTATGCAGGTACCCACAGAGTCCAGAAGGGGGAGGTAGGTCCCTTGGAGCTGGAGTTACAGATGTTTGTGAGCCATTTGGTGTGGGTGCTAGCAGCCAAACTTTAGTGTTCTGCAAGAGTAGCAAAAACTTAACCACTGAGGAATCTCTTCAGCTACTGTAACCATTTTACTTCTATTGTTTTATTCTATACAGAAGGTCATTTTTACTTTGTGTTTTGTTGGTCATTAAAATTCCAACTGTGTAGTATGTTCAGCTCTGTTTCTGTACATTATATGACATAGGTAATCCTCAATACAATTTATTTGAAGGGAGATATTGACTTAATCTCTTTAACACAAAGTAGATAGAAATATTAGCAGTACTCATATACTACCTTAAAATTTTTTGATGATCAAGAGTTAATAGTAGCCACATGATACAAACATCGTGTATGTAATATATTTGTTTTATATATAATAGTATATAATTTATATTATAATTCTCAGGAGATAGAGTTAGTTCTTATATACCATTTGATTTGAAATGTGAATTTGTTATAACTGAAATGATGTATTAAGGCACAAGTTGAACCTCATGAGTATTTTCCTAATGTATGGAAGTGGAAGAAGCACTAGGTTAATTTATGAATGGTACCCAGTTGAACCAAGTTGCTTAGGACACATTTCAGACATGCACCACAGTCCTTTGCTGGCTGCCGTTGTTTGCTCTTTTATTATGAGCCAAACTTGTCTGCATGTAGTATTGCAGCTTGCTTTTCTCATAAGATAGTCTATTCTACCACTTCCAGGAACTCAATGGAATAATCTTTTCAAAACCTACTTTCACGGGTATATTTCTAGGCTTTTCAAGAGAAAGTGCAATGTTTATTGTAGTGTATTTCTTAATCCCTTAATATATGTGAAGCTGTACGAAGTTGCTGTATTTTTAAATGCATCCTTGATTAATGCTTTGGATATTATCCTCCTAACACATCTATAAACACTGTGACTTTTAGTGTATACTTTTGTACAATGAAGAGATTGTTAGTGACACAAATGCTTTGTTACAACAGGTCTTGTACGGTGGAATTACTCAGGGAGGTTTGACCCCATGACAGAGGTCTCAGAAGCATGCTGAATTCTGGTTATAGACTCTCCAAACTGATGTTTCCAAAAGGCTCAGTTAGTTTTTTACTATAGCCAGGTTAGAAAGCATTTGGAGCAGGCAGACCAATATTTAAAGAAAATGCAGAGAGGTTTTTTATGAGTGGGGCACATCTAAAGATTCCTTTGTACTTGGAGTTGAATCTTTGAAAACTCTGTTTTAGGGAAATTTAATGAGTTGCTTTCTGGCTTTTTGTATCCCCTAAGGACTTAGAGACTCCAGCATTTTCCTTATATAACAGGCAAGCTTAAATAAAAGCTGTTGCTTCAGAGGATCATTTATTTTGAGTTATTGTGTAGTGCAGAAACTATGCATTCTTTATGGAATTTTAATGTTGAAGTTTTGAAAAAAAAATTCAACCAAGAGGAAAGCAAGCACGTACTTGGAGGATATAATCTATAGCACAAAGCTGTTTCGACAGCTATTATTTAGGTATTTTTCAAGCTTGAGTCATCTTGTTGACTGTTTTTAATGCCATGCTGTAATTATAGGCCCAGGAGTAGCTGGTTCTTTGACTCAGTGTCTTAGAATACATACTTTTGGTATAATAACACTTACATTACTGCCTGTGTTGGAAACTGATTCCTCTCACCACATGTCTGCTCGTTCAAAGGTGGAGGGCGAGAAAGGACATGTGCTTTTCTGACAGGTGTACATTTTCTTAAAAAATTAAAAAAAATTATGTGCATGGGTGTTCTAGCTGCTTGTCTTCCTTTTTTTTTTTTTTTTTTTTCACCATGTGTATACCGTGTTCATAGTGGCCAGAAGAGGGCAGAGCTCCCCTGGAACTGGCTTGAGATTGTGTGGACCTGAATTACAACTGGTTGTGAGCCATAATGTGGGTGCTGGGAATCAAGCATGGGCCTTCTGGAAGAACAGCCAGTGCTCCCATCTGCTGAGCCATCTCCAGCCCCAAAAGGAGTACGTTTTCTCCTGTGTGTATTTTTTGTTTTTAATAAGCTGAGCATGCAGCTTATTTTTTAAATATTATATTGCCATTTCAGGATAATTGATACTGTTGATCTCTGTGGGTTTCCAAAGCACAAAACTGTCATTTTCTCATTTATATTGATTATTTTATACCGTTGGGATTGTATTTAGTACATGCAACTAACCTCTTTTCGATAGTTGGGGAGAAGGAAAATTTTCTAAATGGAATCATTTTTAAGCTGTAATTTAAAAATGGTACATTCATTTTTAGGTAAATCTTATTTTTACATAAGAATAAAAAGTACATAAATATTTTAAAATCACAGAGTTTGGGTAAAAGTAGTATTATGTGAGTATTTTAACCATATTATTGCAAATTCTGAATGATGTTATAAAATTAAAAAAAAATCTCAGGTTAGTATTTTGTTTTTCTGGAGCACGGAATGTGTGTGCTATCAGTATCTCTATCTTAACTTGGTCTGGTTCTGAATTATCCAATGTTGGATTTAGATTGCTTCCATCATAAGATGTTTTGTTTCTTAATTCCTCTTTTAATGGGGATTCTAAAGGGTTACCATTATTTTTAGTTAGTTAAAAACAAAACTATAGTGAGAAGTCTCTTTGATTTTCACCTCTGCTGCTTTGTAACAAAGCATGCCATGTCAAGAATGACATGAATTGACCTAGAAAGACTTCTTCTCTGGGTTGTAATCATGCTACAGGGTAGCTGATGTGTGCTTGTGTGTGCACGTGCACGTGTGTGCAATCAAACTCCACATTCAGTTACAGCACTCCAAATGGGGCCATGATCCACAGTGTGAGGTGCTGAGAGTTGGACCACAGAGGTTGGCTTTAGAAGGAGTGAGGTTGGATAAATGATGGAGACCATCAGATTTTTTTTTCTTCGCTTTTTTTCTCTTGTGTGCTGCACAGGACTTGAAAGAAGAAAACAGTGGGGCTGGAGAGATGGCTCAGAGGTTAAAAGCATTGCCTGCTCTTCCAAAGGTCCTGAGTTCAGTTCCCGGCAACCACATGGTGGCTCACAACCATCTGTAATGGGGTCTGGTGTCCTCTTCTGTCCTGCAGGCATACACACAGGCAGAATATTGTATGCATAATAAATAAATATTTTTTTTAAAAAAGAAGAAAACAGTGGTTATTTAATAGAACTTTTCTTCTTTTCTTTACTTCCCTTCCCCTCTGTTTCCTTCTTTTTTTTTTTTTTTTTTTCCCTTCTGTCTTACGGTTTCTATTGATATAAAAAGACACCATGACCATGGTGCTGGAGAAGCTGAGAGTTCTACATCTTGATCCACAGACAACAGGAAATGAACTGAACTCGGTCTAGCTTAAGCATAGGAGACCTCAAAGCCCACTCCCACAGGGGCACTCTTCCTCCAGTGCCACAGCTACTCTAACAAAGACATACCTCCTAATAGTGCCACTCCCTACGTGAGGTGGGCAGTGCAGCGGGGTATTGGGCAACACAGGATGCACCTCCATGGGCACGTAGGGCAACCTGACCTAGTTTGTGTAGTCTTTAATATTGGCTTTAACATGGCTTCCCCCTAGGCTGCCAGCACTCATATGTAGACTCACCAAAATTAAAAAAAAAATATTTACAGTGTTGTAGAGAATACGTAAATATTTAATTAAATATTCAATTAAAAGTAACTAATTAAAGAGATATTAATGAATTGATTACATCAGTTTTTTTTGTTAGTTTTGAGGCAGGATTCCACAATGTAGTTCAAGCTGGTCTGGAACTCATTATGTAGTTCATGTTGGCCTCAACCCTGTAATAGTTCATATTCCTCTCCTTTCTGTGCTGAGATTACAGACATGAGCTACCATGTGCAGCTTGTTAAGTTTTAGATCTCAAAGGACGTGAGACTTGAGTTTTAAACTATTTTGTGGTATCAAGAGCAGGTTAGCTGCCATATTTTCATATTTGAAAGGAAAAATGATGAGTTCATAGGCCATCTATCATGTTTCATGTACATTACAGTATTCTGCATAGGCTCTCATTGACATCTGAAGCATTTGTTCTTGAAGATGTTGACTACAGATAATAGTTCATTGTACAGTTTTACAGAAACCTGCTGTTTATAATGTAAAGGCTGTTATAAAGTAAACATTTATAACTTTTGAACATAATCATATAATCATAGTCAAGTGGAAACTTCTAATTTTCTTTATTATTTCTAAAGTCTTGGCTACTGATGATTCAGCAGACGGAGCAGCTAAGTAGGATAATGAAGACCCACGCCGAGGACCTGAACTCTGGGCCCTTGCACCGGCTCACCATGATGATCAAGGACAAGCAGCAGGTGAAGAAGAGCTACGTAGGCATTCACCAGCAGATAGAGGCGGAGATGATCAAGGTTGGTCTGGCTCTAGTTGGTGTTCTCATGAGTTTCGTTTAGAACTTATGTTAATATTTTGTCCTGTTTGGCCTTAAAATTGTCATTTCCTGACAAGAAATGTTTGGTGTGTTTAGTAAGTAATACTTTACTGGGTACAGAATATTGCTTGTAATGTTGTATTTTACAGTATTAATATTGTATTGTATTGCTTGAAATGATTGTAAGATATCATTTCACTACCAACAAAGAACAACCATCATGCTTTGTCTCAGAGATCTTGTAGTAACTTGGAATATGTATTTTTTGTTTGCTGAAATAGTTTTTAGGGCTGGAGAGATGGCTCAGCAGTTAAAACATTGGTTGCTTTTCCATCACCCACTTAACAGCTCACAACCATCTGTAACTCCAGTCCGAGGGGATCTGACGCCCTCTTTCGGCTTCTGTGAGCATTGCAAGCACACAGTACACAGATATGGCAGCAAAATTGTCAACATACATGAAATTTAAAAAAAAAAAACTTAGAAAAAAATGAAAAGAAATTGCTTTTAGCTTATATAAAAATTAAATATGTATATATTTCCTTGTATTAGTAATAACTTAGTCAGTGTATTCCTGAGATTTTTGCATTTAGAGTTTGTCTCTTCTGGGTAATTTCTTAACATTTATTGCAGAGCTTTGATTGTCCAAACAGAAGAGCAGCATAGTCCCCTCTAGCTGTCCCCCAGGTCACAGCCCCTCTTTTGCTTTATGTAGTTTCATGCTTCCTCCCAGTACTGGTTCATTTAAAGGAAACACCAGTATCATTTTGTCCCAAAACATTTTAGTGTATGTTTGTAATAAAAGGATTCCTTTTGAAAATAAGAACATTTTCATTAATCCACTTAAAAATGTCAGAAGTCAGTGTTATTAAATATCCAGTGTTTCAATACTTGCACATTCAGTGGTTTCAGTTGGTTTATTTTAGTCAGGATCTAGTCTGAGACATGAGTTGTATTTGAATAATTGCGTTTCAGTCCACAGGTTGGTCTTCCTGCTTATTTTTGAAAACTAACATTTACTAACTAAAGGAATTAGATAATTTGCTATATGCAATTGAATTCCTTCAATTTTGAATTTTTCTTTCATTCTTTTTGTTTGTTTGAGATAGGGTCTCACTATGTAGTCTTAGCTGGTTTGGAACTCCCTCTTTAGAGCAGGCTGGCCTTGTACTTACAGAGTCTGCCTGCGGCTGCCCCCAAGTGCTGGGGTTAAAGACATGCACTATCACACAGCTCGATTATGAAGTTTTTGATAAGCACCTCAGGAAACCCATCCTTTCATCTGCTTATTTTCCTGTAAACTTGAAATTAACTAGGTCTAGAAGCTTTGTTTGGTCAGATAGATTGTAAGTGTAGATTTCATGTAGATTGTGAGTGTCGTGTAGATTTCCTGTTGCTTCATATCGGCTCGTTTTTCTTTTTATGATATTAAACCTTACTAATTAGTTCCGCAGTTGTTGGCGTCATCTGTTAGATTTCCCTCTTAACTCTTTTATCTAGTGGCCTCAGAAACTACTGACTGATGTTTTGTGCTTAGGGCAAGTGTGAGTGTGTTGTGTATAAGTATGTGTGTTGTTTATGTGTTGTGTGTGTACACTGTGTGCATGTTGTGTGTGTTCACATGTGCATGGGTAGGTTAGAGATAGCTATCAGGTGTCTTCAGTTTTTCTCCAGGGTGATTTTTTGAGACAGGGCCTTTCAGTGAGCCCAGGCTTGCCATTTCAGGCAGACTAGCTAGCCTGTGTACTTCCGGGATCCTTTGTCTCTGCCCCTCCTCCCAGGGCTGGAGTGACAGGCACGTGCTCCATGCCTGGCTTTTACATGGGTGCTGGGATCAGAACTCAGGTGTTGTGCTTTCATGGCAAGCATTTTACTGACTAAACCATCTCTCCAACCACAAGGGCTAGTATTTTATTGGTCTTTTACATTTTTTATTTCTTAATGCAATTTAACAATTTCCTGTTAAGTAAAATTTGGGGAGTAGGGTGGGTGGTGTGGTGGCCTGTGCTTTTAATCTCAGCCTTGGGAGGCAGAGGCAGGTGGATCTCTGTGAGTTCCAGGCCAGCCTGGTCTACACAGGGAGTTCCAGGACAGCCAGGACCATGTAGACCGATCATGTCTCAAAGAAAAAAAAAAAGAAGAATCTTTTTGTAACTGATTGTATACCCTAGACTACAGTATGAATAGGGAAAAGCCAAATAAATATTTTAATCAGTTTTTTAGTTTGCAAAATAATGAATCAGTTCTTGAACAGCTTAAAAAATTAAGCAGTATTTTTTTCTTGAAAGGGTAGTGATTTGAATTCATTTATATTTACCTCTTAGTTGTTGAATTTTTGCTTTTTATTTATGCACAGAATGCCATCTGTGTCATCAAGATCATTGGTGGGTGTAATTTCTTTTAAAACACTGACATTTCCTTGAAAATTGCTAGTGCTCTTTTTTGCAAGTTTTTTTTTTTAAAAAAAAATTAATGTATTTTTTGAGACTTAAGTGCTTGCGTATAATACAGTCTGGTCCCACGCATCACCCCAGACTCCCCAACCTTCCCTACCTAGTCCTCCCCTCCTAGGAAGCCCGCCTTCTACTCAGTTCCTTTTGTTTTTGACCCACTGAGTTTGAGTTTAACTTGGGCACCAACATGGGCATGGTGAGAACTGGTTACCCCAGCTGTACCACTGAAGACAATGACTTCCTCTTCCCCAGCAGCTGTCAACTTCTAGTAGCTCCTCTCGGGGGAACTGGGCTCCAAGAGCCCTTCCCTCATCCATGACTGAACGTTGACAGGTCTAGTCCTGTGTCGGCCCCATGCAAGTAACACTGCTGCTGGAGTGGTGCGTGCAGTGGCCATGCTTGTTCAGAGGAGTTCTTTGTGCCCTGCTCCCGCCATCTGGCTCCCACATTTTCTCCTGTACTATCTTCTGAGATGTTCCCTGAACCTCAGAAAGTGTGATGGAGACATGCCTTAGAGGGCTGTGCACTCGGCAATCACTTTTCAGCACCTTGATTCTGTGCTTAATTACCACGCACTGCAAAAGCAGCTTCCCTGACCAAAGTTGGGGCAGCTTTAGTCCACAGGTGTAAACACTGTTTTTATACACACTCACTCCTAGAGTCTGTGACCTTCCCAGCCACGTAGGCTTTGATCAGGTCTGTTGTGTGAAGCATGAACTCTCTCCTGTAAGAGTGGAGTTGGTTATCTTCATAACAGCCGCATCACTGGAGCAGCAGTGGGGATATTTACCTGGTGGGTCAGTGTTGCAGCATGTAAGGTCCACAGTTGCTTTACACCCTCAGTAGCATTTCTTTCTCAGCTGCTTGCACAGCCCCTTCCTATACTATGAAAGCTAGCTGACAGGGTCTGAGTGTGCAGCTCATTCCAGCTTGATTCCCCTGTGTCCCATAACCAAAGAGTGTGGTGTCATCTGCAGGAGAATTTTGCCATTTAGGAGAAATGTAAATATCCTGTATTGTTTTGGGGGCCTCTGGTACCTTCATGGCCAACCACTTGTAGGGAGGCATTCCATACCCAGTATTGGGATTTTGTTGAAAAGCCTATGGCTTCTACCCTTTATCTACCCATGCAAAGTGCTTCCATTCAACCTCTCTCTCTCTCTCTCTCTCTCTCTGTCTTATTTAACTAATACAGTAGTAGGTTTCCATATGATTCATTTATATACCCTTACTTTGGTTAACCCTTTCCCTGCCATGTAGTCATCTTCATTCCTCTAACCCATCCTTGTTGATAACCCTTCCTTAAGCCTTGTTTAAACCTACTATTTCCTCCCTTTACTTTCATCTCTCATGTATTCTATTATTCCTACCTGTTAATAACTCCTCCACATGATCTACGTGTAACTTCCTAATCTCTTCAGACATTCTAAATTAAACAAATCTTAAAAAATTGAAATTATGATATCCTTGAAAAATAACATGCAACATTTGATGTACTGTGCCTGGGTTATCTCAATATAATACTTTCCCATTTGTAACATGAGGGGGGCCTGTTTGTTTGTGTTTTCTGTCCTGCCTGGTTCCCCACAACTGTTTAGCCCCAAAGAAAATCACACATAGGTCTCCATAAATTATAAGCTGATTGTCCCATTAGCTGTAGCCTCTCATTGGCTAACTCTCACATCTTGATTAACCCATTTTTCTGATCTATGTTAGCCATGTGGCTCAGTACCTTTTTTAGTGGGGCAGATCACATCCTGCTACTTCGGTGGTCTGGGCAGGAGTGGGAGGAATAAACTTCCTCCTTCCCAGAATTCTTCTGTTCTCGTTACATCATTTCTATTTCCTGTCTGGTTTTCCTGCCTATATTTCTTGCCTGGCCAATCAGCGTTTATTTATAACATGATTGACAGAATACAGACAATTCTCCCACACCACCCATTCTATTCATTTTCCTGAAAATTTTATAATTAGTTTTACTTATAGTGCAATAAATTCTATTATTTATATGTACCACATTTTACATGATCCATTCATTGGTTGGTGGACACCTAGGCCGATTTCATTTCCTAACTGTTTTTAATCGAGTAGCAATAAACCTTGATGTGCAAGTACTTGTGTAGTAGTAGAGTCCTTTGGGAGTATGGCAAGGAGTGGCATATTTACCTTGTATGATAGTTACGTTTTTAGTTTTTTGAGAAACCTCTGGACTGGCTTCCATAGTTGTTGCCCCCTTTTACATTCGTGTAGTGTATATTGGGAGTTCCCACTAATTCCTTTTTTGGTATGTTTGTTGTTGGTATACAGGAAGGTTGCTGATATTTGTGTTATGTTTTATGCTTCCACTTTGCTGAAAGTTTATCAGCTCTGGTTTCTGGTAGAGTCTCCGAGGTCTCTGATATATAGCATCATATACTCTTTTGCAAGTTTTTTATGCTATCCGTTTTTTTAGTCTTAGGTGTATTAGAAGATTTTCAGATGACTAGGAGTCATCATTGCCTTTGTCTCGTATTAGAATTCATTTTGACAACAGGGTCAAGATAATTATTTATAATTAGTAACTCAGTTCTTGCAAGCTTGAACTGACCATTGTGCTGACTGTTGCCTGGCAAACAGTCACTGTCTCTGCAAATGGAATGCTTTCTTGTCTCAGAGATGCTAAACTATGAAGAATATAGCGGTACCAACACTTAAAAACAAATTTATTAGAGCTGCTAACATACAATTTAAAGTTCCTTTTCTTTTTTAGTTTTTTTTTACTCACAGAAAATACATCTGGATAGAGAAAATTAATTTATTGTTTTAAAGGAAATTTAGAATACATTCTCTTACTTTTCCTTTAGATTTTTCCTGTTCTTTAATAAATCAGTTATTTTGTATAATTAAAATGTTTTTGTGCTGAAGAGTTAGCTCAGCGGTAAGAGCACTGGCTGCTCTCCCAGAGAGCTCAGTTCGGTGACCAGCGCTCACATGTTAGTTCATGACTGTCCATAGCTCTAGTTCTAGGGCATCTGGTGCCATCCGATCTCTGCAAGCGCAAGACATGCGTGTGGTACACTTCTGCACATATAAGCATTCACATATACATATAAAATAAATAATCTTAACAAATATGTTTTTTCTTTGCTTTTAAATTTTTACAAGAAGTAAAATTATCATTATTATTATCATTATTTTCAAATTATGGACAAATTATATACATGTCAAACATAGTCTTCACTTCCCTCCTTTCTCTTTCTCATATTCTTTCTCCATTTTTTTCTTTTAGACAATTTTACTACTACTTTCATTTCCACTTTTTAAATATGTGCATAAGTGATTTCACATGGCTGTGTAAAGTTTAAGAAGTACAAATGTGAGAAAACATGATGCTTATTATTTGGGATGTGGCTTAATTTGCTTAATATGGTTGTCTCTGGTTGACACCCTTTTATCTGTGTAGACAGCATGACTTCATCTTTCTTTCTGGCTGAAAAGAATTTCATTTTGTATATATACCACATTTCCTTACCCATTCCTTTGTTCTTGTTTACCCACTGTGGTTCTGTTGAGTTGAATTGTTTCACAGCAAACATTGATGTGCAGGTATCTTCGTGTTACGTTGAGTAGGAGTCCTTTGGGCAAATATTCAGGAATAGTATATGTGGGTCATATGGTAGAGAATTTCTGTTGTTTTGGGAAACCTCCATAATGTTTCCTTAGCAGTTGGACTGGCTTAGTTTTATCAGCAGTGTATAAGGGTTCCCTGTGGTCCACATCCAAAGCATCATTTGCTCTTGTTTTCTTAATGACTGCCTGTCTGACTGGGGCAGGGTAGAAACTCAGTGTATTTCCTTACCAGAGGAAACGTAGATTTGTTAGGAGACATAAAGAGTCTCTCTCAGTAGTTGGGCCTTGGTGCAGGGAGCAGTACCCTCCATGTAGTTTGGATTTGCATTCCTTTGGTGACTCAGCAGTTTTTTGTGCTTATTGGCCATTTGTACTTCACCTTTGCTAACTGCCCATTCATTTCATTTCCTCAGGCCATTTATTGAATAGGTTGTTTGTTTTGTTTTCTTACTGTCCTTTGTATATTCTAGACGTCTTTAGTCACATGTATAGCTGCAAAAATTGAAGTTAATTTTAAAGGCATAGATCATATGTTTTTACACTGAAGACTGATTTCTTAGCCTTTGGATTATAGATGATTTGTCAGGATCTAGCCTTGACAAAAACACCTTTTGCCAGGGTAGGGGCGTGGGGATTTAGAAATATTAGTAAAGTATATGAAAGCATGTGTGAAAATAATAAAAAGAAAATATAGAATAGTACCAGGAGGGAGGTCTAGTGAGTACTGAAATCACCTGCGTTTAATTTCCAATTGCTGACCCCAAAAGGTAGGAGTAAGACAAAAAAAATGCATTAAAATGATATAAGGAAATGAACAGATCAGTTGAAGGTTGTGGGCTACATCTATAGTTAAACATTTTGTTGCTAGAACAAAACAAGTCAAGCTCATACCCTAGAACAAAACATTGTGTAGTCAAACCACTCTCTGGGTGGAATCTAATGTTACCTCATAAGGGAGTAGAAACTTAGTTGGATCCATAGACTTTTGTTTGAGGTAGAAATACTCAAATACTTCTCTATTCCTCAAATATAAGGTCTAGATACTAGCCACACCTGTTGACAATAACCTTGAGAGAGCAGAACTCTGTTCTAAATCTAGGCGGGACCTTTGAGATAGAAACACAATAACCTTGAAGGAGTAAGTTCCAACTCTCTGACCTTTGGTCAGCATGGAAATAGGCTCATGTTTTTTGGACCTCTGCAATGATTATTATGTTATTCTTTTTTCTTTTTTCTACTTTTTAAATTTTGAGATTATAATATGATTACAGCATTTCTCCCTTGCCTTTCCTTTCTCTGAACTCTCCTATATATACCTCCCAGGTCTCTTTCAATTTCAAATTCATGGTCTCTTTATTCTTTAATTGTTATTTTGCACCCACACACAAAATACACACACACACACACACTTCCAAATATAAACTAAACTGTTTTATATAATATTACTTGAGTGTATATTTTCGTGGCTGACCATTGGTATATGGACCACCCCGCTCCTGGAAATGCTTTTTTTGCTTCTCCTTAATAAATTTACATTTAAACCCTTATATGCTGCAGAACACTTCTGGCTCAAGAACACTAAGACTCAAGGTTCATTGTGGAAGATGGGGAGGGAAGATTGTGAGAGCCATAGGATCAGGGAGGTTGCTGCGAGTCTCCTAGCGGCGTGTTATTCTTGATTTGTCTTTTAAAGGAAGTTTGTGTTTGTATGTCATATTGAATTTATCATGGATTTTAAAGCTGAGTTTTAGTTTATTGTCTGTTTTTTTTTCCAGCAAAGATTAGTTGTTTCCTATTGGCCTTAAAATATGCATCATCCAATCTTTAGAATGTAAACTGTTGACTCATTTAAATGTAAACACTTAAAAGTTTTTCTGCATATTGTTTCCTTGACAGGTCACAAAGACAGAATTGGAGAAATTAAAATCCAGCTATCGACAATTAATAAAAGAAATGAATTCTGCCAAAGAGAAATATAAAGAAGCTTTAGCCAAAGGTATGGCAGCACCAGGAAGAGTGTATACTGTGATGGTTTCTGTTCTGGTCGGCTGATAGGTGTCTTTGTAGAGTAGAATTATCCAATTTCGAGCAATTTACATTCTAAAATCTTAAAATATATCAAAATAGACTGGTTGTTGAGCTGCTGCAAATTCCCTTTTTTGTGTTTTAAGAGCTTCAGAGCGATTCTGATTAGTTCACATTAGCTGTTATGTAGTGTTTGTAAAGGAAGCAAGGAATATGTACATCTCTCTTGTGTTTGATTTACTTATTTAATTAGAGTATTAGATGAGAAAAGTAGTGTTCTCTGTTTAGAAGTCTTTTCAAACCTTTTTGCTTATAGCATTAAAACAGAAAAATCGTTTTATGGCTTAACACTGTCATTATAGCTTAATTTTCATGTTTTCATGTTTCTTTCACCTACCCCATGTCTCTGTCTTCTCCATCCCTACCAATCCTATTCTGTTTCCTGTTCAATCTCAGGGGCCTTTTATAGAGAAAATAGATTCTTTACTTTATGTGTTTCTGCTCATCTTAACTATTTTGAGATTGGCATGTTCTTATTAATTTGGAGTTTTTTTTTCTTGTTTCATATACATAGTCATTATTCCTTTGCTATTTTAAAGAATACTTTAGGGCCTCAGAAAGCATTCTTTTGAATGCTTAGCCATCTCTCCTGCCCCCAGTGCTATTTTCTTTCTCAGTCTATCTGCGTAGTTAGAGAATGACTAGTAAGGAAAAGAAGTTCATCACTGCTCTTAGATACCTGTTTTTAATGATGTGGATTTGTTTTGTTTAAACACTAAAATTTGTTGTGGTGTTTTAAATAGTCTTTGTTTTTGTTGATGCTTGCCTTACAGAAATTCATAGGTGATTCTTTTTGAGCCTGGTGAAACACTATAGTAGCAAGCCAATGAGCATTTCTGAAGTCAATGCTTTTAATTGCCTCCCTCCCTTCGTCCTTCCCTCTGTCTCTCCATTTCCCTCCTCTATTCTTCCTTCCCTTCCTCCTTTCCTCTGTCCCCCAGTCCCTCCCTCTTTCCCTCTCCCCTTTTTTCCATCTTCCCCTTTCCTTCCTTTTTCTCTTTGTTGTGCTGTAGATGGAACCTAGGGTACGTGCTTTACCACTCCTTGAGTGAGCCCCTAAACCCCGAGAAACTCTCAAAGTCACACATTTACTCAGTCTAAGTTTATGATGGAAGACTAGTTGAAACCAGGACCATGTGATTTCAGTTTCTGCAAACTTGTTAGTTTTTCTTTTTCCAATGACGAGCAAGAGTTCATAAAACGTTATTAGTGAAAATGGACTTTACCCTAACTTTTAGGTGGTTAGTAACCCACACGTTCCTCTCTCATTTGTATTGAGAGTTGTCTATTTGTTCTCAAATATTTTGAACCCACTGTTTTCCCCATATGTTCATGCTATGGAAATAAACATCAATTTCACCTGTATTTTTATGTTGAGGCACTTAAAATCTAGATGTAGCGTACTTTAAAAACTAGTTTAAAAGGGGTTTTAAAATTTTATATTATGTGTATGAGTGTTTTGCCTATGTATAGGTATGTATACCATATATGTGTCTGGTGACAGGGTTCAGAAGAGGGCATTGGATTCCCTGCGATGAAAGTTAGGGGTGGTTGTGAGCCACCATATGTGTGTGTTGGGAACCCAACCTGAGTTCCTTTGAAAGAGCAACAAATTCTTTTAGCCCCTGAGCCATCTCTCCAACCCCTAAAAAATTGTTTTAAGAATAAATGTCATTGGCCGGTGGTGGTGGCACATGCCTTTAATCCCAGCAGTCAGGAGGCAGAGGCAAGTGGATATCTGTGAGTTCAAGGCCAGCCTAGTCTACAAGACCAGCTAGGACAGGCTCCAAAGCTATACAGAGAAAACCTGTCTCAAAAAAAAAAACAAAAAAAACAAAAACAACCTCTCTCACAAAATAATAAATGTCATGAATGCTAATTTCACAAAATTTAGGTATTGCCATATTGAAGCAGATGGTATTAAATAAAGTGAACTTAAATATGGTTTTGTTGGAAGCCTTTTTTTTTTTTTTGTTTTTTTGAGACAGGGTTTCTCTGTGGCTTTGGAGCCTGTCCTGGAACTAGCTTGGTAGACCAGGCTGGTCTCGAACTCACAGAGATCCGCCTGCCTCTGCCTCCCTAGTGCTGGGATTAAAGGCGTGCGCCACCACCGCCCGGCTTTTGTTGGAAGTTTTATAGTTTACTTGAGGATATAATGAAGAAATGAGAAAAGATATTTAAACAAATTGCTTACTAATTATGTATTTGGTTGCAGCCTACCGAATTGACTTGTGGCTAGAATTACTCGAGTTTTATATTTACCCAGCGTCAAAGTCTTCATGCTAGTGTACACCTCCTCTTGCATGAGTGTAAGCATGGATGCTTCTGCTTGATCGCCCATCCGCATCAAGGGAAGGATGCAGAATTATGTCACCCCAGCTCAGTGGCGTCAGTTTAGGAAGGCCGGGAGGAGCTTATCACTCTCTTTTTTTTAATAAGAGCGGGGAAACAGCCCCCCTTGCTCCCAATTATCTGTTCTCTTTGAGGGATGATAGAGTGCTCAGGATTGGCACGTCCATGGTCATCCCTTATCCTATGCAGACCAAATAAGAGGGACCTGTTGCTGGAACTGTAGGCAATAGCTTCAGATCTCATTAAAAAGGAAATTTTTCTGTAATTGGGAAGTAGATTTTCTTAAATTGCCTCTTCATGCATTATGAATAGTTCTGCAATATTTTATAGCCAATTAAAATTGATTAGATCTTTGAGTTATTTCTTTAGAATACTTTAATCATGAAAACCAGTTTGGAATGAGTCCAGCTTTGAGAGAGATGGTTAAATTTATGTTTAAATAATCTAAACTTTAAGAAAATGAGCAAGACTTTGTAAAGTCTCTTACTTGATTTCATCAAAGAATTCACTAAATAGACAGCCATCATTTGATTATAGCATTTATATATTAGAGTCATGTATGAGTGGTAGATGGAAGTCTTCTAGAAAATATTCTGGAATTCTAATTTGTATCATCTTGACTCCCCTGGTGTCTGAAATGCATTTTGGACATGGTATTTGCTATAGTTCAAACTATGGGTGCCCTCTGAAATGTCCTCCAGAGTCTTAAGGTTCGGCTGCCAGTCATTAAGCTTTGGGAAGTTATTGGATCCTGAGGGCTGTGACTTCATCAGTGCACTAATTCATTGATGGATTCCTAGTTCAGCTCCCATTGGGAGGCAATAGGCACCGAGGAAGTTGGTCCCAGTGAAATTGGAATGTGTACATGGGGACTGTCTCCAGCTCCTCTTCCCCCTCCTGCTCCCTCTTCATGGTGTCCTTTCCCCTAAGACCACAAACAATGGGACAAGCTAAGCACAGAACAAAACTGTGAGACGAAAGCATCCTTTCTGCTATGAAGTTGAATTTCATCCCAGAGGAAAGCCAGACTGACTCTTCCTGATCCCCACTTTTGTTAAAAGCCTGAAAGTGGGAGCTTTTAAAATCCTACTCATCAGTAGATGGCACATCAGACGCTCACTCATGGCCTGAGCTTTCCACCGCGGGAAGTTTAATATGACTGGAACCTCACAAGGTAAAGAGAGCAGACACTCTTAGTGACCTGATCTGCATTGAGTTAGAACTGTGCAGAAATGCAGTGACTGCTAAGATAGACCCCTCAAAGGCTGAAATAGAAGTGCTGTGTGCTTTATTTATGCTTTTTATATGAAGTGAAATGCAATCATTTGTTCCTGCCTTCTTTTTTTTTTTCCTGTATATCTGAATGACACACAGAAAAATAGTAAGAGAAGTTACTTCCTTTAACTCATTTTTGTCTACATTTGTGAAGCTATTTAGAAATGTTAGTTTTTGGACTTGAGTTATGAGAGAGAGAGAGGGAGAGAAAGAGCATCAGAAGCTAATATTAGATAGTATACACTAAACAGCAGATGGCAAATTGTAATATTCCTTTAATTATAAAGTTAAAAATCCATTTAGATTTACATTTAATTTTTAGAAAGAGCTTTTAAATTCATGCATCAAGAACAGTCTCTTTGGACTAGAAATATGGCTCCATACATAAGAACTTAAGAATGTAAGTTCAGATCCGAGCATCTGCATAAGAAACTGAGTATTGCTGCTGACTTACAAGCTAGCACTGGTGGGGCAGAGGCAGGAGCATACTGCGGCTTGGTGGTCAACCAGACTGCCTAAGAACATGACCTCCAGGTTTAATGAGGAAGAAGATGGAGAGTGATAAGGAGAACAACACATGTCTTATTTTGGCCTCCACACACATACACATGGGAACAAATACACCCACAAGGACACAACAATTACACATGGGAACACACACATGCACACTTGCATACACCGTCATACAAATTGTATGTGCATACACATACACAGTAGAACTATTTATTCATTTCTTCCTGTTTGCTAGGTACTGGATTTTGAAGTCTCCATGAGACTTAGATTTTCAAGCAGAACACAGGTATTAGCAGGTATCTGAAGCATATTAAACGGGGGCTGGAGAAATGTCTCAGCAGCGACGAACATTTGCTGCTCCTGTAGCGCAGCCAGGTTCTGTTTCCAGCACCCACGTAACTATTTTCAACTGTCTGTTAACTCAGTTTCAGATCTAGCACCCTCTTCTGGCCTCTGTGGGCAATTGGGATGTACACAGTGCACACACGTACACAGTGCACACACGTACATACAGGAAAACACTCATATATGTTGAATGAAAAATCTCTTAAAAATTAAATAATGATTAGTATGGTGGGGAAAGATGAAACATAGATAGGAGTTTGAGGGGTAAGACCATTAGGTAAGTCTTATGGAAAAGTAACCATTTAATAAGAGGTAAACAGGCAGTAAGGGAACCCATCAAGTGTTGTTCTAGACGAAGAGGACTCTAGGTAGAGGGGCTAGCCTATTCATCTTTAACTGCGTTGACTGCTGAAGAAAGACATGGAT